TCTGCTGTGTGTCCAGGAGCTGATCGACATCAAGATGGTGCAGTGCCAGAGGGTGGAGAACGGTAAGGGTTAGGGTTAGGGTTAGGGGGGGTTAGGGTTAGGGTTAGGGTTAGGGTTAGGGTTAGGGGCAGATACTGACTAAAGTCATCTAAAAACAATCTAACATTAACCCTTTAAAGCCTGATCCAAGAATAAAACAAAACTAAAGTCAGCTAAAAACGTCCAATAACCCTTTGGTTTCAGTCCTTTTATCTAATTTAATAATGTTCAGTTCTTACTGAATGAAATGCTTCATTATTACTTCAGTTGTGCTGTTTTCACTCGGATTAGAGAGAAGAAGGTTTTCAAAATGTTTATTTAGCCCCGTTATTTAGCTAAAGATGAACAATGTAAAAAGCTTTAACTCTTTAAGGCCCGATCCAAGAATAAAACCAAACAGAAAATGACTTTTTTTGGGTTTTAAGTCTTTATTTGGCCTTTTAACAAAATATGTAAAAAGGAAAAAAACAGGAATACATTTTTGATATTAATAATTTATTACTATGTGATAAATCCAGATTACTTTTGTGTAGTCTTCTGCCCCCTGTTATCAGGTGTATCTGATTGTGTTCAATAGGATTTTGAGCAAAGTTTTTACCATTAAATTATGCAAAAGGTGTCGACACTAAACATTTCAGAAACCGTATGAATCAAACATGAAACATTTAGCATTACAGGGTTAAAATGTTAGAACGTTCTTCTTGTTTTCTGTTTGTTTCTCAAACATTTACCTCTGTTTTTCAATGACCAGTCGGATTGAATTGTTTAATAACTACAAAAATCAAATATCATCTCCAAACTTAGACTTAGACTTAGACAGTACTTTATTGATCCCTTGGGAAGACTCCCTCAGGAAATTAACAAACAAACAGAGATCAGATTTCCTCCGTCCGTAACAGATATTCTCTCCTGGGCAGAGCTGCTGCAGACGGTGGACTTCGTGGCTCCGGACGAGCGGGTGATGTTCAGGACCTGTGACAGGGAGAAGCACAGAGTGGTTTTCCAGATGGTGAGCCGGGAACATCGGAGCTGCGTTCAGTTTAAGGAATCCAGATCCAGCTTTCTGATCCCATCCCGAACTATCAGAGCCTGTGTTAAAGTCTAAAGTTATTTATCTACTTACTTAGCTGTCAGACTCATGTTAAACAGGAATTTACTCTGATAACTTAATGGTTAGGACACAGACCTGTGGGTTACAAATGCTAATGCTAATGCTCTGATAACAACTTAATGGTTAGGACACAGACCTGTGGTTACAGATGCTAATGCTAATGCTCTAATAACTTAATGGTTAGGACACAGACCTGTGGTTACAGATGCTAATGCTAATGCTAATGCTCTGATAACAGCTTACTGGTTAGGACACAGACCTGTGGTTACAGATGCTAATGCTAATGCTCTGATAACAACTTAATGGTTAGGACACAGACCTGTGGTTATAGATGCTAATGCTAATGCTAATGCTCTGATAACAACTTAATGGTTAGGACACAGACCTGTGGTTATAGATGCTAATGCTAATGCTAATGCTCTGATAACAACTTAATGGTTAGGACACAGACCTGTGGTTATAGATGCTAATGCTAATGCTAATGCTCTGATAACAACTATCTGAATTAGGGGGGTCTGAATTACACACACTGACCTGTTTATTCAGGGAGAAACACACAATAGACCAAATTATAGATAACTAACAGAAATGGCATCAGTGAACAGTAAAAAGTGACAATAATATTGTAAACTGTGTTAAAAAG